TTTATAAGAAACACATTTACACAGAATAAAGGAAGAGGAAAAATCCAGGAGGCCGATGGAATGTAATAGAATGTGATAGAATGGCTAAGCCTGTAAGGGGAAGACTGGAGGCTTTACAACTCCCCCACTAAGCCCTTTGGTCTCCACTTCTCCTACTTTGGGGTAGCAGCTTGGTAGTTCCTGCTGCCAGCACCTCTTAGCGGGAAACATGACTTCACCTGCCATGTTTCCCGCTAACTGTGCTGTGTGAGAGAAGTAAGGCTCTCACAATCTGTGCTGCCTTTATGGTGAATGAAAGATAAAAATACAAGAAAGCAACATAATTTCATAGCACAACCTCCTGGCCATGTAGCCTAGAGGATTGTGTCTAGAATATGTTTCAACCCTTCTTCCTTCTTTGAGACCAATCTCATCAAATATAAACAAAATCAAACTTAACCTTTTTTAAAAAAAGAAGAAATAAAACATACACATTCTTTTCAACCTTAAATATAAAAATGCAAATATTCAGTGTTAGTAAAGATAAATGACAGCTGTTCAGATCCCAGTGATATGGCCACCAACTTAAAACTTACAAAAGAAAAGAAAGTGCTCCCAAGTAGATCATAAGATGGCACTGGGTTGTTACAAATTGCACATTCTCCCCTTTTCCTGCTATTTTTTGTTATTTCAAGCCTAATGTTCCCAGTACAAATAAGGAAACTGAATGTGTAACATCAGCCGTTTGCCCATGTCAGGCTGGACATGATGATATTTATTTTATTTATAATCTGTATGCAACCAAGAGCCATGCCTTGGAAGGTGGATTGTATGTCAGAGCCTGTGAAAATGTGTATTGTATGTCTGAGCTGGCAGCTTGTTCAGGCTACAGTCCCAAACAATAAATATATTTTTGTCAGACAGGTATCTTCATTTGGGTAAGAACTGGGCAACAGGTGTTTTACTGGGCATGAAGGTTCTCTGCTTACTTTCAGTGCTGTTGAGGGAACCCCACATAGAGAAAGAGTTGGAAGTAAAAAAATGGGGAGACAGCAATGGCAAGAATGGGGGAGCCGCTGTACAGTACAATTTGTCAGACTTTCCCTCATCAACTCCTCTCATGCCAAACATTGTCTTCTTGGTAGTTTTGTATATATCAGAAGTATAATGTGTATGATGCACCTATTCACTGTTTTAATGAAAATCAGTAGTGTATTCTAAAGATTTGAAGTTTTGGAATTCTCTTTGTAGTTGCTGAGAATTGAATTCAAGACAAGTTGCATGTCTGACTGAAGCTTTTTTTTTAGAAGCGTCGGCTTCCTAAAAGTAAAATGGCTGTCAACTGGCTGCAGCAGGAAGGGCAGTGGGTAGTTGAAGGGAGCAATTTCCCAAAAGAGAGGAATATATGTCATTGCTGGGTGTATTTGTGAGACAGAAAATTGCTGCTGTGTGTGAGTGTGTGTCAACATTTTTATAAATAGTATAAATGCTATTATAGTGGTGCAACAACGTTCAGTTCTGTTCTCTTGTATCTCCTTTATTTAGTCATCGAATTTCCTTCACAAATAAGGCAATTCCAGAGCAATTCTCTTAAACCAAAGGAATTTTAAGGCTTATACAAATTTGCTCTTATACCTCAATCCTCATATTCTACAGTTGTAAGAACACTGTTGTTGAGGAGTCAGCACGTGACCAAATTTTAATAAGATATAACGCTAAACTCTTGATTTTGATTCGCTCTGTAATAGAGCTGAAGAATTGTAAAGTTGTACATACTCAGCATTACTGAAATGTCTGATTTGCTCTGGTCCACTTATAAATTCCAAATTCAGTAATTAATTTCAGACAAAGCTAGCCTGTTGAGAAGCTAATCCCATGCACTTTTCAGATTTGTCTTTTTCAGTGTCTTTTCCCTTCATGATAATTAAGACATTTACATCACAACTGTTTTCAGAAGTGCATCTTTCTGTACATTCTCAACCTTTTTTTTTTTTTGCTTTCCCTCCCCGCATGTACAATTGTCAATGGTAATGCATACCATTCTTTTTCATCCAGATTGAAAATAATGGAAATCAGTTAATATGTAGTTTAGCAGCTACAACCTCCATTGTCTCTTTGCTAGTTTCAGTGTTCTAGGACTCTGGAGCATGAAAGTTGTGGCTGAGAGATGTGGGAAGCACTATATAACTGCAAAAAAGCTAAGTTGCTAGCAAGAACATCATGTGAGAGTATAAAATGTTTTATAGCCCTCATGCTTTCTAAGTGCCTCAGCCATAATTTAAACCATATTTTAGAACCTAGAATCCAGCCATATCTGCAATTCAGAATACAATTTTTAAAAGTGAATTATGAGGAAAAACAAATTCTAATTTTTGCAACCGTTTCCTAGACATTTTAATTTTTTCCAGTTCTGATGTTGCTTAATCCTTCCATGCTCTGTTGATGGCTGTTGCTAGTCTACCCGCCCTACAGATCGTGATGATCTATGCCAACTTGGGCCGAGTTACAAGAAGTGTTAAAATGCCAGCAGGACAGTTGGTGTCCTGTCCATTACTTAGTACCTGTTGCAGTAGCTCCCTGCTTTCTCCCATTCAGTTTGACTTTATATTTAGTCTCTCTCTCTCCTCCCTGCAGCTCAGAACAAATCCGGCATCATCTTTTATTTGGGGGATCTGTGTGGGGGCTGTGCCTAGATTGTACAAAGCTTTGTATCCTACAGTTTCACCAAATTCTCCCTACTGCATCTCAGATCTGCTTACCATTTTTGCCAACGTTAGGGCATTCACATGAATTAGGTGCCTGAGACTATAGTTTCCTGTCTTCTGCCAGGACTTGCCTGTTCCTTCCCCTTCTCCCCTTGCAGGGGAAGGAAGCCTTGGCTACAATAGGACTTTTTTTGGCTGTATCTTACTCAGCAGTGTGCTTGTGCAATTCTGAACAGACTGGAGCCCAACACCGAGGTCGGCTGAGGATACAGGAACTTGTTCAGCTGCTGCAGCTTGTGGGATGTGAGAGGGTTGGCTAGCCAGACTCTGGCCTGGGAGGGGCAATAGTGCAGACTAGGCAGCCTGGGAAAGCTGCAAATTAATAATTTACTTCCTTGTGGGGTTGGGAGGTGTCCTGCATGTATGAATATTATGCATTCCCATTCTCTGTTTTAACAGCCTCTTGCTTTTGAATATATACATGATGAAATTGCAGGGCAGGAAATATTGTCTATCTTGAAATTCTAATTTCTAACCCTGCCAGTGTGTCTTCTGCCCTCATTCTTCTTAAATTTAACTCTCACCCCTTTTATCTTCAGTTCTGAGTGAATCCTGATGATGTTCCTCTTTCTTCTCTTTCTCTCTCCCCTCATCCCTTTTTTCTCTCCCCTCACCCCTTTTTTCCCAGGACTCTACCTTGCAGGTGAACCTCACGCAACCCAGTCGTGCTAGCAGTTGTTCTGAAAGGTGAGCAGTGAAGGGTGGTAGATGAGGGAGGAGGGAGTAGAGGGGGACCAGCACTGCAGTGGGAATAAATTTGTGTGTGCATGGGAGAATGGAATTGCTGCATGTTAGGCAGAGTCACAATTCTGGCTATTGCTTGCGTAAAAGAAATGCAGGTACTTGATATTCATTTGACCTCTAGAACCTCCTCTGTTCCAGACCAGAAACTTTCCATCCCTCCCTTCCCTATTCAGTACTATCATCTTGGTTTCTCCTTTGAGAAGAGATCCATCTTCAGGCTTCAAGCTGGCAATTTGTTAAACTGAGAAGCAAAAAGAGGAGAAAGAAATGGAAAACATTATAATCTTCATTATTACTTCACATTTTAGAGTTTGACCCTGATTTTGGGTATAATTCCCAAGTCTCCCCTAAGACCAAATTAATGCCTTCCAAGTGTATCTGCTCTCTTCGATCCTGATGTTTTCAGTTTGTTCTCAGCTGGAAAGCAGAAAAATCCATGGGAAGAATTCTGTCTGGTGACCCACACATCTCCCACTCTGCTTCCAAGCTAATAGTTCCCAGCTGGGACCAGTCATAGCCAAGGAGGAAGTGACTCTTTGGGCAAGTGACTCCTGCAACTTATCTGTTGCCAGAGCGGGCCTGGGAAAAGGCAGAAGGAAGGAGAAGTTTCTTTTGTGAGGCTGACATCTCTGGGATTCTGCTCCAGGAGGTAGCTGAGAAAAAGGGACAAGATGAATGAGACAGCAGCTTAGTTGGAAACAGGGAGATGGGAGAGCAGAGGACATAAGAAGGGTCTGAGAATGTACAGGTAGTCCTTGACTTACGACCACAATTGGGACTGGAACTTCCATTGCTAAGCAATGTGGTTAAGTGAGTCGCACCTGATTTTACAGTCTTTCTGCCATGATCATTAAGCAAATCATGCCATTGTTAAGTGAATCCAGCTTCCCTCATTGACTTTGCTTGTCGGAAGCACCTTGGGAAAGTTGCAAATGGCAATCACGTGACCCCAGGATGCTGCAAATGTCATAAATACATGCCAGTTGCCAAGCACCCAGATTTTGATCATTTGACCACAGGGACGCTGTGACGGTCGTAAGTGTAAGGATCGGTCATAAGTCACTTTTTTTCAGTGCCATCATAACTTCAAATAGTTGTTAAATGAATGGTTATAAGTCAACAACTACAACTAATTTGTACTTGAGCCCCAAAGCCTAATCTCAGTACTAGGACAAATCAAGTAGAAATAGAAGAGTAGTAGATAATGCCCTGAGCATCTGCAGAGGTGAATTTTCTTATCAGTTAATCTAGCACCTGGAATGTATGATTTGAAGATGAGCTTATGAATTTTTCATTTTTGAGAGCCTTGATTTACCAGATAAATCTTTTAGGGTATTTCTGAAAGCAGTTATCTGTGGGATTAGACTATCTGCGATGTGCTATAAGGAATCACGAATAGGGAGGAGGAAACACTCTTTCCTTCCTTTCCTCTCCCTCCCTCCTTTCTCCATCAGTGCACAAATGCCAAGAACCTCTCTCTTTCTGTATCTCTTCCCCCCTCTTCCCTCATCTCAGGCAATCCAGCTAGCATCCTCTCCTCAACTGAGCTCCTTCATTTCCCAAATTCTTGGCAGCCCTTCTATATAAACAGCTTATTTTTAGTCTGAGGTTAACAGTGCAAAATCTCAGACCAGTTTCCCATAACTGTGGAAGGAAGGGGATTGGGGGGCAGTATTCCCCTTCTTTTCTTCAAAAAAAGGGGAGCAAATATGAGAATAGAAATGTATAGAAGATAGAACCCTCTGAGAGGGCACCTGAAGGTTTTCCAAAACTTTTTCACACTCCAGGCTCACCTTTGGCCAAACCATGTGTGCTGGTAATACAGTACTGCTATTGTGACCTACTTAAAATCTGGCTGCAACCAGTAGCGGCTCCTGATCCATCAAATGAAAATCAGTATTTTGGGATAGATAACATCAGGATCCCAGCAGTTTTCTTTCTTTTGGGGGCAAGACTGAAAGACATCTGGGTCTAATCTTAAGGAAAGATCAATCTCCTTTCATTTGTATTGATGTAGTTCAGATTGATGCCTCTCTCTTCTTCTCGGTCTGCTACCCTCAGGTCTTCACCAGTGACTGAAGAGACACACAGTCTTATTACAGAGAAGAAGTGTGGAAGGATGCAACATGAATCTGATGCTATTGTGAAAGGTGGGAACTTTGACTCAGGTTTGTTTGTTTCCTTCTCTCTCTCTCCCCTATCTCTAAGAAGGGTGGCAGGGCCCTCTGATGTCATTTAATTTTTACAAGTGGGATTATCCTGTAACTTAGAGGAATGGCAACTTCCATCTTGAAAGGACACAGTTTCTGGTCTGGGAACTTGCACCAAAATGAGTGCCAGAGTCAGAACTTGTATTGAATCCAAGAGACCTTGACTCTATTGAGTAGTACTGTTTCCAGTTTAATCATTATTTTGTTCCAGTTTGCAGTTAGGATACTCTCTGTTCATGCTGTGAAATAGAGCTCAAACTGCAGAAACCTGCATCTTTAATTTTTTGAAAATAAAAAAAATTAAAGGATATTAAGGCTGAAGGGACTCAGTTTAATTTTATTTTTCTCATCTTCCAGGTTGGCTGCAGCGAGAGGTCCGAGGAGGTATTAAAACCCCCTGGTTGCGTCCTCGCAAATACTGGTTTGTGTTGACAGAGGATTCCCTAGATTACTACAGTGGGTGTGAGGTGAGCGCCCAACGCCTTGGGTCCCTTGTTCTCACCAGCCTCTGCTCTGTGCTATGGCCCGACAAGCAAACCTATAAGGAAACAGGTAAAGATTGTCTACTCTTGCATGGTTAAAGAGGTTCATGCTCACTTTTTAATCCTGCTGTGGTTTCTACGTGACAGCAGGAGGGAATCCTGAAGACTCTTCCTGCACAGGGAATGAATGACTTCAGAAAATGCTTGATTTTTTTTCTTACCATGCTACGCTCTGCTACTAAGATATCCATAATGCATAGATTTATTTAACAAGCATTTTAAATTTTTTGCCTCTTTTCATGCAGTGAAAATATAATCCGTGCATTTTTAAAATGTAAGGAAGTAGGTCAGATTTCCTTGTATTTGTCTATGATTATGTGTCTTCATGTTAATTACATATTGGTACTTCTTTCTCCCACTCCTGCAGGCTACTGGGCAGTGACAGTTTTTGGCAGAAAGCATTGCTACCGGCTCTATACAGAACACTTAAATGAAGCCGTGCACTGGGTTTGTGCTTTACAGAAGGTTATCATCAGCAAGGCCCCTGTGCAGACCCCTACACAGCTCCTCATGCGTGACATTGAGGTGAGAAACCAAATGAGCACAAGGACATGCTATTGGGACTAGGAATGGGGGCGTGCATCTTTGGAGAGAGTTTTTGCAGGAAGAGGGAATGGACACATTTGAGTAGTGGCTTTTCCCTGAGGTGGGGGCAGAAAATGAGATAATCACATGCAGCATTTCTTCATGGGCTAGGAACTCAGTCTTTTACAGTTATATTGATATCTCTGATTTCAATGTCAGTTTTAATTCCTAAAATTGTTTTTTAAGTGCATCAAAATATTTTGAGATTTAGTTTTTAAGACTACGTGATGATGAGCAGATCTTGTTCAGAAAGGTGCTATGAATGTTCATTAAATTAAATTTCAGTAACTTACTTGGAAGCGTAGAGATAGTTTCTGTTATTTAATATCAATTCATCTCCATAGCTGCACTATTGTATAAATAAGTTGTCCAGTCCTCCTAAGGGTTTCCATTATAAAATACAGATGGAAATTGGAAGGTTCCTGAAGCTCACACACACTGGGTCAGTCACAGACAACAGTAACTAGTGAAGGGCCATGCCCTCTACAATGACAACAGCCATCTTAGCACATTCTGTTTAGAGGGGTGTTATTTTGGACAAATGGCAATTCCAGAGATTGGAACACTAGTTCTAAGAATTTTGCATGAAATACATGTACCTGATGTTAATTTGCATGAAATACATGTACCTGATGTTATTGAGTATATAACTATATATATATATATAGCCTAGATCTTTCTCTCCCTGCTTTTCCTCACACTATTCCAGGAGAACTGCAACAGCCCAGAAATCTTGGATCAAATTTATCACAATAATCCCATCCTACGTTATACAGCTGGCCCAATCTATGCACCTCTCCTGCCGTTCCCTTATGCAGGTGAGTAGCCTTTTCTTGGCTAGTAATCAACTTCCTTAACTTGCTGACTTCATTATTTGTTCTATGCTAAAGTTGTGCTGCTTGTGGTCTTTCAGAGGTGTGGCCCTCAGGCGCCCTCCAAAACTCACCACCCCATTAAAATTTAAGAAGACAGAAAGGAAACATTATTAAATATTTGAAAAATTATATCACCTGTATTGAATTTAAATTAGATTAAAATAAATCCCTCACCACCCAATATTTAAAGACCAAACGCAACCCTTGACCTACATACAGACTGTGTGCCCACATAATGTCCCAGCCTGTAAAAGGCCTAGGCAGTTCTCTGCCTACAGAAGAGAAAATGAGAGCAAGGGCTTGGGCAGATCTAAATGTAATTGTTTTCTTCTTATCTTCTTCCTCCCACCCCACCCCACCCAACTTTGCAGCTCCGGGTGGCCAAGGTTATGCAGGGCTTCGTGATGAAGCTGTCAAGCTGTTCCATTCACTACAGCAGCTTGAAGAAGTGCGAGATCCAATCCTCCTCATGCAGGGGGTGCTGCAAACCTGCCATGACCTTCCAGCCCTGGTGGATGAAATATACTGCCAACTGGTGAAACAGACAACAGAGCCACCTATTCCAGGGGCACCCACAGATTTGCGCTATTGGCAACTGCTTGTGTGCATGAGCTACACATTTATACCTTCTGTGCCAATACTCTGCTACTTGCACCTGCATCTGCAGCGGTGAGCAAGGGAAATGGGAAACAGTGTGAAACATGTCTAATGCAGAAGTGGGAAACTTGGGGAGTTCCAGCTGTTGAGGAACTACAACTCCTAGCAGCATCCTTCACCATTAGCTATGTTAGTTGGTGCTGCTGCTAGTCGTAATTCAGCAATAGTTGGATGGCCACAAGTTCCCATTCTTAGTGTAATATTTTGGTCACAAATTTACCAGCAGTGAACGCAGAACTACTGGCAAAAAATATTTCACCCAATCTGAGGGAAGTGAAAGGGAGGGAGTGCCTATGTACAACATCCTTCTTTGTTCTGTCCCCAGTAGCTCTTATTCACAAGGGTGTGAACAAAGATGCCCTCCCTTTTTAATGTGTTCAGAGACAACATAATTCCAGCTGCCAATAAATTTCCATTAAGTCTGCTTATGGTCTAGTAAGCAGGAAGTGGATTAGAATGATAATTCATTTGACACATTTGAACAAGGTGCAAGGCAGGCCTTTAGAAGGAATCTTTTTGTGGGTGCAGTATTCTTATTAATGAGAGTTTATGGAATCAGTTGCCTAATAGCATCTCTTCCCTGACCCAATAGGATGGAGAAACGGTTCCCAAGATCACCAGTGACCCACTATGGACATTTAATCACACAAGCCCTGAGCAAAAGCAAGGGGCGGGAGTGTGTGCCCTCCTTGGATGAGATTGCAGCACTGATAGGAAGCCAAGAAATAACACAATCCACGCATTGTCCTGGTACTACCACCTGCTATGTCACCGTCACATCTAATGCTACAGTCCAGGAGGTGAGCAAGACCATGTGTTATTGGGAAGGGCACAAGATTGCTTAATTGATAGGATGCAAAAAAGGCTGCACATAGGGTGTCACTAATGCTAGCAATAGTCCTTCCATCTCTTCTTAGAAACAGCAACTTCTACAACTCTGGTTTCTTACCAATGCCAGGAATTGGTCTTATGTAGTATCATTTCTTAACTCTGTAGTTTGATGGAACAATTGGATTATTGCCTTTTTATTCTCCGCAAATGTTCAGTTAAATCACTCTCTTCCTCCCCTCACCCCATTTACCTTTCCTCAGCATGTTTGACACTGTGACCTTTGCAGCACTGAGTACCTTCCTGCTGGACATGGCCAGACCTCCTGTCATCCCCTTTATCACCTCATCCCAGGTGACCCAAGAACTGATCTTGCATTTGGGCATGGCCTGTAGCCCCAACTCATTTGTCTTCCACATGGAGAGCTGGCAGCATAAGCACCCCAGTTCAAAGAATATACTAGATAGTTTTACCAGGTATGAAAAGCATTTCCCATAAAGACACGTTACAGCTAAACTAAAAAAAGGGTCCAAGAGTTGACCGTATGTTTAGAATCTTGATTGTAAAAAACCAAGATCCTGAGTCTGTCTGGCTGCAGCAACCATGGTGGCATCAGACCAGATTATTTGAGGGACTGCCTCTCCCTGATTACATCTACCAATCCCATTAGACTCTTCAGAAGAGGCATGCTTTGGGTCCCATCTATTAGGGAATGCCATTTGGCAGGGTGCAGGAAGAGAGCCTTTTCTGTCATTGCACCCACCCTTTGGAATATCATCCCCCGGGGGGTCAGATTGTCCCCAACCCTCCTGGCTCTTCTTAAGAACGTTAAGATGTAGTTTTGCACTGGGCTTGGGGATCCAGGTGTGTGGCAGAGCCTGTACAGTAGTTATGTTGATTACTGTTGGTGGTTTTTTATACTTTGCAGATTGTGTTGTATGGGTTTTGCATATGATTTTATATTGCACTTTGTTTTTAATTGTTGTAAGCCAACAATTAAATCATGTATTTGAGATGGGCAGCTATATAAAATGAGTGAATGAATATATAAATAAGGGTACTGTAGCAGGCTGTTGCAGTGGAGGAGCCTCCCTGTGTCTGGTGGGGCAGAATTAAGCAAAATAAAAAATCAAATTTGCAAGACTTTTAAAGGTACAATTTGTAAACAGTGCAATCTGTAAGTCAGAAAAGCCCAAAGTTATTAACTTTGAAATGGTAGGAAATACTCATTCAAGGCAGGGGGATGTCTGTCCCTGCCCCAATGGTCTGACTTTACTTACCTATCTATTCTAGCTATGGTGGGCAAGAATCATACTGGGGACCTGTGAAACTATGGTTCAGCTATATGGGTGTCTCAATGTGGACTAAATCTGCAACAGCCAGCAGTGTACACTGTTTAGTGCTGCAGGTAAGGGTCATACTGTGTGAGAAGTCAAGCCCAAAGTGGAGGAGAATATTATTTCAAAATTAACATGCATTTACTGCCACTGTTGTTTCACCATACCAGCTGACCACTGGTAGCAGTTTGCCTACCTTTAAGGAAACACTCAGAATTTGAAGGGTGACTTTGCTATGCATCTATTATGTCCCTGCTTCAGCTGTTTTATACTAACCTGTTTTAATCTTGCTGTGTTCTTCTACCTTCAAAATCATGTTTTGAATGGCTTTGTTACAATGTTACCTGCCTCCAGGGCCTTTTTTATTGGGACATTGTCTGTTGGACTGTGGATCCGCTCTTCTTTGGTCAAGCAACAAGTAGAGAAGCAAGAACATCTACACAGCAGTATTCTGAAGGCCACTTCTGTGATATGGGCCATCATGAACAAACAGAAGAAATAGAGTATGGGACAGCTGAAGATCACAAAAGCCTCCCTGGACCAGGTTGGAAAGTGATTAGCTTTGGCTCTGCCCTTCCTGGTGCATTGTTAGGTAAGTTACTCCATCTAGAGAATATGAAAACAGATGATACATCTGGAGAAAACAAGTTATATGAGAAGGGCATGCAGAAATATTCTAGGAGCTTCGTTAGGGCCCTCCTGGACGAGAAAAAGATTATTTTCTCTCTATTAAAAAGAGTTGATACATGAGAATTGTCCAGAGGCACCTGAGATAGCGTGATATCATTTTAACCTCTCTTGATGGGTGAGTTTTACTTTAATTAACGTATTACTGGAAACACCCCACTGTTCCTCCACCTTTGTAGTTATCCAATGTATCTAGTTCCCAACCCGAAGGTTGCCTTGTTCTACACCCAGGGGAATGCTAACCTTGAGGACTTTCAGGTGCAGCTGCATAATGTTCTTTAATATAATTGGGCCACGCTGCTTAAGTGATGAAATTCCTGTCATCCACACTTAGTAACCCAGCAGGGAGAGTTGGAAAAGGTTATTTGACTTTGAAATAATGCCAATCTAGAACTGAAGTACTGCTCTTGGTAAGTAGTTGAATCATGTGCCCTTCCTGTATATTGAGAATCAGGTACAGTATCAGCTGAATAAATGTAGGTAATACACATAATCTTTCCTAGTCTACTTTTTTTTTTTAAGGTATTTCTTTCTTTTAACAATCTGGACTTTTGTGTACATCTTGTCCAAGAAGATGAATGTCTGTTCAGTATGAGAGAAGGGACCAGTAGCAAATGTAGGGGTGTTGAAGACAGAAAGCTCTTCTCCCCTTCTGTACTACTGAGTCCAGCTCCAGTACAATGTGTGATAGTATGTTAAATACTTAACATAGAATGGTGTAAGGATGTGTATGCTTGAACTCAGTGTATATATGTATAAGTCCTGTATGTGGTTTGTTTAAAATGGCAAGCTGGTTTTACCCAACTTTGGCAAATTTGAACAAAAATCATATTCTTACTGGGCTGGTAATTAGCCACACAGGCTAGTTGACTAGAAGCAAATGAAGTTCCACAGAAAGTTCCACTTGTTCAACTTAACTCGATTTTTCACACTCAAAACAGCTGCAACAGGGTATTTCCAACTATATGTTCTCCGTGCTTAACATTTCTCCAGCTTTTCTGATTGAAAGGACATATACCAAATCCTTTTTTCTTTTTGTTTTGGGTTTGTCAAGAGACAGATGATACTTGGAATGGCAGTTGTATGCTGGGAGGATACTAGTGTTTAGCTGCCATCAGAGACCTGTTGCTTTCTTTTTTCAGATGAAGAGAATTCTGCAGCATCAACAGACAAGCATGTTCAGCATCAAGAACTCCCAGTAATCACATGAACAGGGACATGTTTCCCAAAATGCCAGTGATGGAATTCTGATTAAGTTGATTCCTCTGTGTCCTGGCAGGAGCCTTGTAGTTTTGGATCAGCATATATTCTGGTCATTGAAAGGAATAATAGTGATATTTTTTGCTCCTAAGGAGCTAATAAACTATGTTGTCTGTACAGAGGGATTCCCTATTCCCACACCTATTCTGATTAAATACTTTTTATACAAACTGTGTCCTTGTCCTATTCTCCTGTTAAAAAAAAAAAAAAAATCAACTTTTGTTCCCAAGAAATTTGTGCTGTGCCTTTACTTCAAATCACCTGGATGGTATCTGGCACACTATTCCCACTGACACACCCTATTAAACAAAGGTTGTTAGAAACTGGCCAGAACCATAACTTTCTCTCCTATGCTTGTCTCATAAGAATGTATAATAAGGGATAAAGAGAAAGTAATTGTTCAGCCTTATTGTGGGGTGTTCATTAAAAGGGGAGCCAAGCAAAGGTATGAGTTATTAAAAAGATGAGTGCAAACCCCTATACATTAAAGCCAAAGAATATATGCAAGTTTTTCCAAGCACCCTGCTCTTCCAACGTTAAAAAACAGTGAGTACTATAATCTAGATTATATTCTGTTTCCATAGGAATCCAGAAATTGTGACTGTTTTAAAGCTCAAAAAGAAAAAAAAAATGCTTCTAAGCACTTGCAACTTGTCTTTTCCACATAAAAATAAAGAGAATGTCTTATACAATAGATACAATATTCTTAAAAACCTGAATAACATTCTAAAAATTAAGCACTGTTCTGCTTTCCTGGTCTATGCACAACATAAACCAGAAGATACAAACTCTTTCCCAAATAGCAAGGTACTTGGCTTTTCACAATTAAAATCCCCCAACATACACACACAGTACCACATCACCTTTGTTCTTTACATTTCCCAAAATTCAGAACACAGACTAATAGCAATTTGGTTTCTGAAATTCTTTCCAGCCCCTTAATAACTGCTCCATTTTAAGTCACATGACCAGGAGAGAAGAGGGAGGGGCCTTAAGAATAGCAAAGTCAGCAACATTCCAAACCACTGCCCAATAGCCTCTCGCACAGGGATGCACTGGGTGAAGTTATGCTGGATTGCTTTTCTCCAGATCACCCTGGATCACTTTGGCCTATTTTCTAATCTTTCTCTTGCCAGATTCTCCCCTCACAGCAAATCTGGTCCCATTCTGTTCTGTTTTTGGAAAATTATCCTGCTGATAGGCAGACAGAGTCCCAAGCTCCTTTACATACTTTCTTTCTGACATTCCATTGGGCTGGAAAGAATAAAAAGGAGTGTGAACACACTGTCCCTCTACCAACCCAGTCTACTGTAGGTTTTTCTGTCAATTAACTTTTGGTATTCTGGCTCTTTTAAGCAAGACAAGCCTGTACTTTAATTAGTTCTGGGAGAAATATGGAATTGGTGTAAAACTCTTTTTCCTTTTTAGGACAGGATGTTTGGAAGCATGAAATGAGGGCATTTACTAGCCATTTTCTAGGAGGAGAAAAGATGGTGGGGAAGAAATTAAGTAGGACTCTAGAAAGAGAGTAAAACAAGTATTAAAAATGTTCCATCAGTGACAAAAAGGAGCAGTATTTGCTCAAGAACTTTAAAACTTCTTCATTGCTGGCTTCCCTAATCCTGGCATTTCAGTCTGTACTCCACCCACACCATCCATTTCCTTTAGTGAGCTGAAAAAAATGCATAGATCACCACACAGATAGTCAGGCCTTCATTGCCTTGTTTACCCTTCCTGTTTTAATCTGTCTTCACCCATTATATGTTAATAGAGCTGCAGATTAAATGCTGAGCAATACAAAATTGCCAGAATCTTATGCAGAAATACAGGTTTGGGTTATTTTAAAATGCCTGTAGATATTTCTCTTCATTATCCACTCTGATACTTCCTCAGCAGAAATATGTTTAAATAAATACAAGTGCAAATGAACATAGCTTAGGACAGAAAAAACCAACTTAAGAACATTAAAAAGAAACAAAAGATATCAGTATACTGCTTGATATTAATCTATCCAAATATTAGGAGACAGGAGGCAGCTGGGCTTAATAATAGGAGCTCACCAAGTAATAAGGAATTCCCAACATCAGAACCAGACAGTATAGAGAGAATCTCTTCTCTTGGAGAGAGATCTGCAACTACTTCCCTTATTTCCAGACACAGGTCACAGAAAGAGGAGGACTGATGGATTTAACAGAATCCACTGTTTCAAGAAGAAAATACTCCAGACAGGAAAAAAGCACACTACAAACTCATTCATTGCTCCTGAGTGCCCCAAGAGATATAGTCAGGCCGAGTGGCAGCATGGTATTCATCGATCAGCTCCTGGACAATCTTTCGGGAGTCATCAAGTTCATCGAAGTTCTCTTTGAACATGTCTTCTTTTCGGAACTGTTCCAGGAAGGCTTCACGTTTGCGCAGTTTATCATACTGATGGCAGGTACGCTCAAAGAGCTAAACAAAAAAGAAGAGTAGGTCAGAAAAGGCATGGGGAAGGATTTTATAGAAAGGGAGCAGAGTGATCATGTAAGCCTCTAACAATGCCAAGCATCCTTCACTGGAACAATAAAATACGGAAAGTATTGGATTGCTCTTTTCAGACTAAGTACTATAAGAGCAAGAGGATTTCTGGCTATGGCTGCTGTCATTTTGCCTAAAAGGGGAAAGGAAGATGCAGTTGGTAAAATGATGCCATCCAGCAGAAATTACTACAATCTAGGGCTTGATGGACCCAGAGCCAGGCCATACAATCATACCCTGGAAGACCAACAGGGGTTTTATTTTGAGAGATTAGGGTTTTTAAAAAAACTTTTATTCTGCTGTACTGTATTTTGTTGTAAATGCTAGAGATGCTTACAGGACTAATATATTAAGCAGCAAAATACTCATTAGTAAATTTTAAAACATTTAAAAATAACATACTGAAAGAAAAAACAGCTCCCTTCAACAAAGCTCAAACATTTCTACTAGTTCAAAAAACTAGGTCTCTTTGCAATTGTTTTCTTATGGTTTATTTTATCTTCTTTGTTCTATTCCTTATACACTATTTAGAAAAAATTGAGAAGGGCCTAGTGGAATACCTGTAAGAGTTCTACTATCTTGGTACCACCACAGAAAAGGCCCTTTCTTAGATATCAACCTATCTAATTTTGAATGAGCTCGAGGTCAGAACTTCAGATGTCAATTTTAACTACCAGGTCATGTGCAAACAGACTCTCAGGCAAACCACTTAAGCTATTTAACTTCAAAGAATGTTTTAGATAGAGTTTAGAAATAAACAGAAGTGAAAATAAGTGATGGAAAATTAGACTGTTCACTCAGCTCAGATAGTATTCTAGCAACAATTTTTAACTAATGAGAGTTTCCAAATATATCAAGACAGTCCACCCAAAGCTTTGGAATAATGTAGTTTGTGATATGGGTAACTATGGCCAGATCTGTGTTTTCTGAAAGTGACTGCAAATTGGCAAATCAAAAGTTATAACAGGTATCTGCTACCAATCTGTACTCATGATTCTCAAAAAAAAAAAATACAATCCATCAAGAATGAGATGTACAACCTCTCTCAAACTGCTATAAATGCTGACTATCAGCATCTTGATCTTATCAAGATGGTATTTCATTTGTTCATCCCTCCCTATGATGTAGAACACTGGTATATAATTGAAAATGGGAAGTACAGCCAAATGCCATCTCCATATTGATGACACTTCAGCTCAAGCCTTCAAATAGACTCACCCAGCAATTTCAGAAAGAGGCTAAAATGCTCAGGAGATAAGATGGAACCTATGGTATAATGCAGTTGAAAGGTTATAAACTACATCAGCAGTTTTCTTTGACTGATCTCCAAGGAAATGTTGTAACCACTAAACCAATCCCAAAGGAAACTATGATGGACAATAATCTCCAACCATATTAATATTCTCAGTTCCTTAGATAACTATAGAAATTAGTTCTGCAATTCAGAATAGGATTTTGAGAGAAATGTGTGCTTCTCTATTCCAGAGTTCAGCCAGAGTACAAATAAGATCACCAATCACAACAGCACAAAAAAGGCTATTAGACAGTTAGAAATCTTCACTGTCCAGAACAGGGTCGTCCCAACAGTTGATCTCGACTCCGTAGAGAAAACATTACTGACAGTCCAATCCTGACTACATAATGATTTTAAGCTTCTTATCTATAGTATCTTTTTCTCAAAGATATCACCAGATCAGATTTGTGCCCTACAGATCTGATGTGTGTCCTACAGAATGTATATGAGTCATAACTATTGTTATCATAGCCTCCTAAGCTGTACCAGGTGAGATTGTCTCAGCATGTTCTCCAAGACAGTAAAGTGTAAGTATTTCAAACAAACAGCTGAAATCCATCTCTCAGGCATGGAAAATTAAGCACTATCAGAAACATAATCCTAGTATCAGATTCCAAAATAAGATTCAGATATTTAGTGTGGATGGATTACTGAACAGGGCATTTGGGAAGGGAGATAAAATTATGATGGCCAAGGCAAAACCGTTTTCCAACCCAAAGCCACTGCTGTATTCTGAAGATGATTAGCTCTATTTGCTCAGTCATATTTCTGAAGCATGTACCAGATCAGCAAACACATCTAGGATCAAGTCCCAGATGGTTGATATTTACTCTTATTGTCTTGGTTTTAAAGAACAACTCTTGTAGATCAAATAAACTGCTGATATGCAGGGAGGGAATCCAGAGAAGGATGAGACTGAATAACATTCAGTCATCAAAAACACTTTCCCCATCCTATATTATAGCTCCTCTCAATTCATACAAAAACAGAAGCGTCCTATATTTCCCCCATAGTCATTCACCAGAAACCTCATGACATAAAAATATTCTTTCAAGTACAATCACATTTTTTGAATTTGTATTTCTGCTTCCTCAAGGAATCAATGTAAACTATTCTGAATCAGAAACTCCATACTTAGGAAATGGATATATTAGCTGAAAGCTATTAGTGAGAGAAAGTAAGAAATCATTTCCTAAATTCTGATGTAATTTTAAACGGGGCATAGAACAATTGTTATGTAGTCTCTCGGGAAATAGGTGAAAATGTCAGAACAATGGAGGTACACTGGTATGGTTGTTGTCAGTTGTTTAATTGTTCTAGTTATTTCTACTGTTTCAATCCTACTCTCTATTGGTTTGTTGTAAACAACTCAGAGTCTCTAGCAATGGCATATAAATGGGAAGTGGCTGGAGTGGCAGAATAATGGGAACAAACAGATAAGAGCTGTGCAGAACATTCAAGTCAATCTTCAAGAATTGCTTTGGTCTGTATGGGAGCATGAGCATTCCACCTGTCTGCAATACCTTACAGTGACTATATCTTTCCAAGAATGCAGATCTTGGAAAAAGGCATGGCTGTTTTACAATAGTGCAAATAGTTCCTATATTCCCACTCCTGTGATTCCAAAGCACCTTTTGGAAATCAAATTTGAAGTGCTGTACATCTCCACGTTATTATCTCAGATATGAGAACACTAGGGCCCTAAATAAAAATTAAAAATTGCAACATTAATGGTCCATCCAAACTTACCGAGGAAATGTTGGTGTGATTAGCCATCATGAGACCACTGACCCTGTGTGCTGATGGTAAGTATGGAGATTTCCTAGAAAGTGCCACTTGGATGCTGGCAGGGCCCCAAGGAATGAAGTTGGCCAGTTTCCTCTCTCGGATCCGCTGTAAACTCTTATGAACCTGATGAGGGGCAAATGGTTTGTAAGTATGAGTATGTGAGAAAGTACAGTTATTCAACTGTGGTGGGGAATAACAATAATAGAAGAGCTTCTTGAAAAAAATAACCTTGAAAAGATGCAGACTCAAGGTACTATTAATTTGAGTGAGTGTGATCAAGAGTAATGCACTTGGATTTGTAATTCATCAACACAGAAGGTCACAGGCTGCCCCTGCCTCAAATTAACGCTTGTAGCAATCCACAGATTTGATACATATAAAAATGTGACTAAGCCCTAATAATAGGTTCTATATAGCTGGCTCCATTTGGCCAGTCTTTCTCAAACTGCTTACCTGGGTTGGATCCACTTCCCCCTGGATGATGTTAAGGATGGCAATGTAGCAATGGTTTGTCTGCCTGTCACGCCCCATGGATACCATCACATTTTTAGGCTGCAACAGGCGACGCATGACATCAAGGACAGTGGTTTTCCTCACGCTGGCCACCTGTGGGCAAAGTAAGACAGCAGTATAGCATTTATTTGGTGGAAGGATTGAAGGCTGTCTTGCACTCAAAAGAAAAAGGATCATATATAGAGCTTGAGGAGATTCTTCATTTAAAGAAAGTTTCTGCAGAGGACCATGGGCTAGTCTGATGCATTAAAGCTATGAAACAACACTGGTTCTAATTCAAAGATTAGAGTTGCAGCATCCTAAGCCAGGCTAAATGACAGATACAAACACCACTTATACAAGATGTCTTTTCCTAAATCTGGAAAATTAGGATTCTTTCCATGAACCATTTCAGTTGCTTTAAATAGTGACAGGAGTGGAAAGAAGAGAAATGCAGATTAGCTATTTTGATAGAGCATATATATACATTCAGAGAAGCAGATAAACTATGTAAGAGGCATCCCATCTCCTAAGGGAAGGAGGCGGAAAGACAAATGCACAGCAAAAATCTTGTGCACCCACCCACATCCACACACTCCATGCAACTGATACCCTCTGAATCATCAGCCTTTGTGATCTGCCCCTCAGCATCTTGTCCTGCTGCTTGTTGAAAAGAATGAAAAATGAAGACAGCTATTTAGCATTCTGGAAATATGGCTGCATGAATTTGTCTCAGGAGAGCCCATGCTTTTGTTTCTAGCACTACAACATCTTCAATAATTTCATGGCAACTGTAGGTAGGGCAGTATAGCTGTTTCACATATTATCATCCAAAATAAAGTGCCTTGCTTGAGGGCTTAACTTGCTGTGTAAAACTAGCCACTGTATTTTGTAAATCATGGTTTTTTTGTTTTTGTTTTTTACCAAGGGCCAACCTTTGTGTCCATCCTGAAAACTGCAATGGGTGAGCATCATCACACTGGGATGTCACTGAGTAGGCAAGATTTGATTTGAGGAACTTTCAGGGAGCTATAGGTACCTCACTCTTCTACAATATTTAAGGTATCCATTCTGTTTCATAAGCCCATCAAAATCTGAAAATAACAGAAAAAAAGTACACCCTAACATATTAGCCCTGCTTATTTGGGTGGTGGGGATGCAAACATGGTGCTGTTGGGATGTAGGTACCCATGGGTTCACGATCCCTGATTCATGGCAAAAAGTGTGTCTTATTCAATAACTGCTGTTAAGCAAAGCACCGTCAATGTAACATATGAATCCAGTCTCTGACCACCCTTTTGACATGGCAATTGTCCATAGGTCATTGCTATCCATTCTCAGATCATTTGAGTATACCATGGAAAATACAATGTGAAAATCAGTAATGGAGCACAAAGACTCCCAGATCTTGATTTAAAGTCAAAAGAGAAAAAGCACTTACAGCCTGGTCAGTGGTAAGAGGTGTATATCCTGTAATGAGGAAGTGCAACCTAGGAGTGGGAATAAGGGAGGCAATCAGCCCAATCAAATCATTGTTCATATAACCAGGATAGCGCAATGTGGTGGTACTGGCAGACATTATAGTAGAGACCTAGAAAGAAAAGGCAGAAGTTATAGCACATCCTCCCAAGAAATCAAGGAGAGAAGTGTAGTTTCTAACATCCTAAGAAATTTGGCCAAAAAGTCTCCAAAGCTACTCAGAGGAATATATTCAGGAGCTGTACATTTAGTTCAAATATATCAAATGCTGAGAATTTTCAAAATGGGAAATGGATATAAGCACTATATAGTATTTGCTAGCTTTCTACAAATTATGATGGATAATGAGCTGGGATTGTACAGAGGGGAACCAATTAATTATCTGATCACATACAGTATTTCTTAGCTACACAGGCAAGTCATATAATGCCTCACAGGCTTGTTGTATGGACAGGAACACTAAAAAACACTGAAAACTGTCATGAATAGCACTCTATCTATAAATGGCCTAACAGTTATCTTCAAGAAATTGGGAAAACCAAGAGCCTAGAAAACCATCCTAGAATACCTTAATGTTGACAAAAAGTGACCTTCACCTAATTTTAAGACAGAAGCAGAGAAAAAGAATTCAACACCTATTCTATACTTCAAAGCTCACCTTCTTAGTTTTAAATGTATGTACTATCTTCTTCAGAGTGGTATTAATGTTTCAGTTTCAAAATATAAAGATAACCAAGGCATCAATACCTGCAGAATTAAATAATGTCCACCTCTGAATTTCTACCTAACATCTTCATATCTGTTGAGCTCTGACCATCTCTTATGAAAACATAGCCTTGTACATGACTCAGATCCCAACCTTCCTTTTTCAGAAGCCTCAGGAAGCCTCCCCATGCACTTACCAGCTGATTGATCTGGGAAAAGGTGGGATTTTGGATGTGCAACCTGTCAGTAGCAATACGATTCAGAGCTGTATTGTCTAGAACCACCTGATAAAAAAGTAAATTGGTTTAAGCAGTTTAGGCAAAAAAGAGGAAAAACAGAGCATACTTCTCTCTGCTAAATATATTTGTAGGACTCAGGCTTCATCCACTTTTATCTATCTATCTATCTATCTATCTATCTATCTATCTATCTATCTATCTATCTATCTATCTATCTATCTATCTATCTATCTTTTTCCCCACTGAACAAACAGTTTGTCCTGGGAAGCATCTTGCAAGAGTTGAACCCAACCCAAGCATGGCCTTTTAGGGACAGGCACTCTCCCCTTAGACTGGGACACAAAGCAGGCAGCGGCAGTCCTTGCAGGAATGGAGCCCCACGGGGGAGGCTGCATTTGCTCTGCTAACACGCTCATTGGC